AACAAAAACGTTCAATCATCATATCTCTTTCTCTTTATAATCATCTATAAACTCAAAAAAAAAACACTTTTGGAGGAGAAGGAAAGATCAGATAGAGCTAATACGTAAGATGCCATCATTTCGGCTAATCAAACCAATAGGGAACCAAAAAAGTTCAATCATCATATCTCTCTCTTTCTCCTCTTTTATAATTCTCATCAACACATAAAAACTGAAACTTTTCCTAAAACAAGTCTTAATCTTTAAAACAAAACAGAGAAGAAGAAACACATTGAACTTAGTCAGAGTTGTCGATTTTACATCGCCGATGGAGCATCATATATACATTGATAAACCTAGGGTTTCTTTAGGGTTCTTTCAGCAAAAAGCCGTAACTACCCAGTTGTTAAAATGGGCCGAACGTGGCGTAACTAGGAAATAGGCCTAACTAAGTCTAGAGCTTATAACCGTGAAGCTTCATTATGGGCCACAATTGGCCCAATGGTTTTAGGCTCTAGTTACACTCACTCCTTGCATAAACCTTTTTTTTTCTCCTTGCATAAGCTTTATGCATATGAGTTTGGTCTTGGTGCAATGTTCTTTTGAATCTTTTTACTTTTTGGGAGCTTGCAGAAAATTGCTCTTGATTTTGTTACACCAGTTATAAGTTACTTTGAGAAATAATTTTATTTTATTTAAGTTTTGAGGACATGGAGCTCTTTACTAGATTTGGTACCTTTCTATATGAGCCCACCATTTGTTAGGATGAGATTATAGAAAGACTAAAGTAAAGTACATAATCTCTTGCAAGATTAAGGGAATGAAATTCAACTGGTGAGATGTGTTGGAATTTCGATCAAAAAGATATTTCAAGCAATTACGTTTACATATAACTTGCTTCCTTGAGCTCAATTGTCTTCAGCCCACACTTCTAATGTATCTCTTGTATCGTTATCTTCATATGAAAATTCACATTTATCTCCTAAACATAAATTTAAAAAGTGATTTGTGTCATCCAACCATCACTTTCACTCAAAAAATGACATATCATATTACAAAAGATGACATGGCTTAAACCAAAATATGACATGGATAATTACATTTAATGTTGATTTTATTTTTCATAAATTTCATTAAATATGGTAATAATTCATAAATTATTAAATAAATATATTTACATATGACATTAAATAATATAATAATAGAAATATAATTCTTTTACAAATTTCAAAATATTATTTAGTCTATTTTTTATAATCATTCATATTTTATTACTACACAAGATTCTCAAAATTTAATAAACTCTTTTTTTAAATTATAAATTTTAAATCAATACCTTTGGTTTTCTTTTGATATCTACAAATTTCAGAATATTTTAGTTTTATTTTTTGATAATTGTACAACTTATATCATTTTCTAATTTTATAGAAGTTGATTTAATATATCTTAACCAAAATTAATAAATGAAATCTATCTAACATTACAATTTTAAATATATACATCTAAATAGAATATAAAAGACATCATTTTTTTTATTTTATCATAATTTATATGAAAATATTGATATGATGATAACAAAATCTAAAATATTAACAAAAAAAAAATTCAGAATAACTTAAATTCGAAATCTTTGTTGCTGCACCATAGTACATGAAAACACTTAGTATTCTATTAAAATTGAAGTATAAATATGAATTTACCTTTAAAATATTTTTTAATTACACTCTAATACCATTAAGAAACCACATAATCATAATTTTCAGTATTTATTATCTTTTTACCAATTAAAACAACTATAAAACATACCTAAATTGTTTTTCAAACTCACTAATGCTAAAACTTTCCAAACTTTTCTCACCTTTAATATTTTTTTGAAAATTTGATATTTAATTACTTTTTCACAATGATATTTAGTTCTTACAAAATAATATTCTTAAAAAATATCATCCAACACCTAAAATACAAAAATTAGTATATATTAAATGGTAAATAGAAAACTAATTACAACGCTAATATAATTTTTATATATATATAGATAATTAATATATAATGTATGTATTACCATATATCTAAAAAATATTTCGATTTATATCAATATAAAACAAGCATTCATTCGGATGAACGAGTCAAATTCTAATTTTTATTAAGAAAAAATCATAAGGTTACCTTCGGGTTTCCAAACCTAATCTCACACCACACATTATCTTAGGGTTTAAAGTTTATTCTCACACCACATACTTATCCTATCACAATTAACAACTGTTTCTGCAAAGGAGAAGATATAAAAAGTAAAATTATAGGTTTGTCTTCAATATTGGTTCTTCTTCTAAACAAATATAAACATATTAATCATGTTGATTTGTGTAAACTAACTTTTTCTGCATAATGTCCCATATCAATCTATATTTTATAAAAATTCTGCAACTTGTGTGTGAATCACATTAATAAAAGTATTTTTCTTTCTATCAGACATTATCAAGTGTGTCTTTGTTATATAAATATTATAAAGTTTTTCTTTTTAGCCACATTTCTTCTATTTGTCGGGCTTAATTAATAGTCCACACGTATTTATTTATGTTATCTCCTTTTTCCCCCACCCAACAAATCCAAGTATAGACGTCAATTTATAATTCATTGTTTTACATTAGTTTCCCCATAGCATTATAACTTGGAATGAGATGTGTAGTATGTCTTTGAAATCATAAATGATACAAATTTATACGTGGTTAGGAAACCAATTGGATTTGCCATCCCAATTGTAAACATGCATAGTATCAAGTGCTTGTTGTTTAGGAGTTGAGGTATGGAGAATGAAGTAAATTCTCATTTTCCATATTCGTATTCTTATTCTAATAGTAACTAGACCATGACCCGCCCGACCGGGCGGGTGTTTTGTTTTTTTTTTTTAATTTTTAGATTTATACTAAATGATGAAAAATAAAAAATGAAGTATCAATTAAATGGTTAAAAATTACTTATGAGTTTAATTTTGATAGAAGAATACCGAAAAGTTTGTTGTTTGATCCGCGCAAGTATTTGTTTTTATATATTTTATAAGTGATAATATATATTTCTAAATTTACCCGTTTAAATAATTGTTTAAAATGACATTTTCGACACACAATTTTATAGTTTATATTGAGTAATTTTGTTTTATCTTATAAACTATCATTGTGTCATACTTATTTTAAAAATATGACTCGTATATCTGCACAAATGTTTTTATTTTATTTTTATGGATCAAAATTTTATGATAATGTATAAGTAAATTGTTTTATTTACTATTTAAAATATATGGTCCTATATATTTCTACTTTTTAACTTTTATTATTCTGAATTTACCTTGAACTATTATTTATATAAAAATATACATAACATAATATGTTTATATTAATCTTTTTATTATATATTATATAAATGTTTCTTTTTGTGACTTTTATTTTAGTTATTACTTACAAATAATAAAAATATAATTATATATCTTTGAAAAAAATATCGTTCATTAACTATTTAAAGATACGTAGATAATTAATAAGAAAAAAAATCCTAAAAGGTTGGTTAATTAATATTGGAATTAGTTATTATATATATGGAATTAGTAAAACAGTTTCTATATAATTTATTTATTTAATTACGAAAGGTATAAATGAAAATAATTATTTTCATTAATTATTGTTGCCATAATTTTTTTTAGTTAAAATTTGATTTTGGAAATGCATTAATTAAAGTGAAAAGACAAAGAATCCTATAAGGTAGGGTAATTAATAATTTCAGTGGCATAACATTGTAAATAATTAAAAAAACTCAGGGGTATTTTATATTGGTACTTCTCTTTTAATAATATAGATATATATATATATATATACTAGGGCCGACCCGCCCTACGGGCGGGATGAAAAATTTAAAATAAATTAAACAGTTAGGGTAAATGTTTAATATAGATTTTTTTTCATATAAAAATATACATACTTTTAAAATTTTATACAGTTATTGTAATTAAATACTAAATAAAGTATGCTTTATGAAAAAATAATTATTATTTTTTAAATTAATATACTTATTGAATTTTTTGTGTTTGTTGTTAAAATATTTTAGATGTGTTTCTTTTGTTAATTAACATATTTTTAGTTGTACATTAAGAATTAAATTTAGCCTTACATCATTCCTTGTATTGTGTTATAAAACTTAATATAAATGACTTTAAAACTATACGAAAATATCTTTTTGATATGTATATCGTTTAGAGTAAACTATATATCATATAAATCCTTGATTTTTTCAACTTCTATATATTTATACATTATATATATTATATAACTCGATGTTTTTCTAAATAGATCTTTATAAAAAAAACTTCCTGTCTATTTGTATATTGGATAAGCCACAATGTTACCTAATAATAACTAATTGGCCCAAAGAATCAATTATGCACGATGACTATTGTAGTTTATCATTTTGGTATATGTGCTTTTCACGATCATGTGATATAAAGTATCTCTTGACATATTAAACAATAGATCTAAACACATGTATTAAAACAAAAAAAACTTATACCAGAATGCTAAATCTATATATCTTATTGATGATGCATTACTAATGGCACCTGATACTCGTAGTCAGGATAAAGTCATTTTATTGGTGAAGAAATTTACAAAACTTATATTCGTAGTCGAATAAAGATAGATTAACCATTCCCTGTAGAAGAGAAACTTTGTGAGCTGCTCTGCTGTTATCTAACCGGCTAAGATAGATCTTGGTTGATTATTTTTGATAAAACCCACATAATAGAACTTGACGCACCAAAAAAGAATATACAATGTATAGAAATTACTACTTCAGAAGTAATTTGTTTTACCTTAGTAAAACAACACAACATGACTACGTTTATAGACAAAACAAAGGCATAAGACCAAAACAGAAAACAACATGACGGCGATTATAAACAGGACAAAGCATCAGATCAAAACAGAAAAAGTAGAAAGGATATCTTAAAGGGTCCTCTTACTTTTCTTCCCTTTCTTTCATTTCTTCTTGATGTCTCCACCTCCTCCTCCTAGGTCTCCTCCCATGCCTTTGGACTTGCTCTTGTTCTTACCGAAGTTGTAATCTTCGCCACTACTTGAAGAGCCACCAGAACGTAGTAAATCCTTAACATCAAGAATACCACCCCTGAAATTCCCAAAAGTGGATTACAGCACTCTCTCCTCTGGGTTGCGCTTCTTCTCTACGGGTTTCTTCGTATTTGTACCACCAAACTGTCATCCAAATTTGCCAAGAATTATATTCTGTAAAACCACACAATAACAACTGAGAGTGAGACTTAGTTTCCTAATATGAGTCGCATTAGCATCTAAAAGCCTAACATGTTCTAACATCTTCTCTTCTCTATCCTTTTTTTTTCATCTGAACTCGCGCTACACTGAGGGGTAGCCTCTGTTTCTTTTGAGGCTGCAATAAACAACAACAAAAAGGATTTTACCCATCTCGTAAAAACTGTAAATTTAGGAAGAAATCATTCTCATCGGAACAGGGAAAAAAGATCAAACCTTTCCACCAAGTTCAGTGACTTTCTGATTCTCCAAAGCTTTATTATCCTTTCATGTCATATGTGTTTTAGCTTTTAAAACATTTAGAAAGATCAGTTAAAAGAGAACATAACGTGTCAATTGTCTTGTCCAAAAAGAAAAAAACTTGTCAATTGTCTTATTCAAATAGCCTAAACAGGTTCCTCACTTTCGCTTTATATCATTTAATGCTAAAAAACTAAAACAATCTAACAGACAAATGTGGAGCAAGAGAGAAAGGAGAGAGTGTTGTTACCAAACCGCTGAACTTCTTTCATAATATTTCCGAAGCTCATGCCAGGATCAACGACATGATCCATGGCTTGTTTGTTCTTGCGAGTATACATGCTTGGGTTCTGAAACAGACAAAGATAAAACAATAAATTGAGCTTTTTGGTCCAATCTATTAGAAATCAAAAACAAAAACTCTTAGTTCCTCCTCTGCAACTAACCAAGACTTCTCAAATTTTAGAAAAAAAAATACTAACCAAGACTTCTTCTTTGAAAGGCCATCTGATTTCTCCGACTACTTTAGTCTTCAAAAGCTTAACAACTTCAACTCCAACCTCAGACTCTCCATTGATTCTTGTGTTAAGCCTTCAATTAGTCTTCCTCCGGACAACAGTTTGAGTAGTGACCATGCAGCACCTAACTGACAAACAGCACCTCGAGTTTCACCGACAATGGCGGTTACACATGGGAAGCCCTAAATTCTTCTCTTTCTCTAGTCAAACCTAATCATAACTTCGAGGAATTGAAATGGTCAAAGGGTTTGAACACACCATTCTTCAATGGGAGCACTCTACAGAGTCAAATCTCTCTACTGATCTTCATTAAATCAGAGGCAGATTACTTAGCCAATGGCGTCCATGAGACGAACGGCGCATCAAATGGGCGATTGAATCAATTGGCTACACCTCTGCCCGTTTCATACAGGTGAAGGTACTCAGGCGTCAGGCGTCACGCATCGTCGAAGGAAAGGGAGTGACGTAGAGAAAACCTAGAGCCCAATATGCAAATCACGGAAAAGCCCATTATGATTTGCACTTAAATGAAACGCCGAGTTCAGGCTGTCTGACGTGGACTTACTTACGTGTAATCCGACGTGGACACTCTAAGGAGTGATGCAACTGTACTTTATATAATAGATATATACACATTTGCAAACGCTTTAGAAGGTAATAAACTCGATATATTTTATTAAGGATACGACAACACCGCTTCTTCTAAAGCGATTGGTGTCCCTTGCAACGATATATATCATATGATCGGAGCTGAACAAGCGTCTTCATGACAACATCTCTACCCATTCGGCAATCACTTTCAAGCAACATGACAGATATATGTAAGGGATGTGATTCTATCAAACAGAAATCAGAGCGTAATGGCTCACTAATGCATTACTGGCTTCTCTTTGTCTGCAAAATAATTTATTTTCTTCTTATTCTAGGTTAACCTTGTTTTCATTTCGTTTTTGCCAAGGTTAATCCCAGTTAGTCTTAACTTATTGTACACTCTTACAAACTCTACCATTTTGAATGGAATTTCGAATATTTGGCAAAAAGAACTCGAATTTGTGTGAATATCATCGATAAATTAAGTTTTTGTTTAGGATGAATGCAGCACAAATTAATAATTAAAATGTAAAAAAGGTATGTATGGTGTTTTTTGTGGAATCATCTGACGTGGTTCGTTCTGAGCTCTGTGCATGTAGGATACAATAATTTCTCAAATTTACTAACCAATATATATAGATAGCTTCTTATATCTCTTCTTAGCAGTGTATAATATGATATCTTTGTATTTCATAAACCATATTAAATATATGTGTAGCTTCTTCTCTCTTTTTTGCAGTTTTTTTTTTTTATCATCTGGATTTTTTATTAACCATAGAACATAGAGGATTGCAGAGCTGGAGGAAGGTGGAACATTTCCCAAAAACTAACTAAGCTGGCAGAATACATACATTCTCCTGAGAAACAGAGCCCTAAAACTAAGGAAACAAAACAAATTTACAATAACAAACCCGAGAAAACACATCGCCAACTAGATCATAATCCAAAACGAAAAGACATTATAAAAATAAAACTCGAAAGAAATATATGTTTCGTAGACCAAATATAAATAATTATATAAATACTCTTGTATAAAGTTGAACTAAATTTTGGTCAGTGAACCCGCGCGGGTGTATTTTTCAAAAATATATTGATATTTATTTTTATATCAGTATATATATCATATATGTGTCATCATATAATTAATAATATTTTGTACGTACCATAATATAAACTATCGCTGAGTTTGCGGGTCAACTTCTAAACGACATAGTTTTCACGAAAAAGTTTGAAATAAAATATTTTTAATAAATTTTCAAAAATATTATACTTATAAGCTAAGATTATTTTTGGAATATCTTGTTGGTAAAGATAAAGGAAAATATTTCTTGACTCGATTGTACCAGAATTTTGATTGCCAGATTTCACTATAAAAATTAAATATTAAATACATGAAATTATGATATAAGATATCTTATTAGTTGATTTTGCAACATATTTTTGAATGACATGTTCTATAACAAATTTTTTAATGTAAAATATATATAGATAAAAATATAAATATTCAACAAATAAACATTCGTTCTTGTTTATTTGTTGTTTACGTCATACTACTATTAAATTGAAAATAGAAGTCAAGAAAACTTACCAGTACAATCCAGTGTTTGAAGATTGATATCAAATAGTTTAGATTCTTGTAGCGACTATTTTTTTCATAGCTATTTCAATGAAATAAATCTTTGACATTAAAATGATCATGATTAGATCTAACCTATAAAATAAATATGAAATGTGAAGATAATGAATTTACCTGGGATTTATAGAAAAGATAAATGTTTAGTTCGTCCAAACAAAAAAGAAGACAAATGTTTAGTTCACAAGAAAAAACTAAAGAAAACGAAGATGATCAAATCATAACCTGTAAGTTACAGAAGTTTGATTTCTTTTACAAAATGTTGCAATCTTTACACCATGCAAAACAAAGAAAAGTTGAATAAGATATTGATTAGAAAATGAATTTAAAAAAAAAAATCAAACTTCTCTAATTTACATTTTCGTCAGCAAGGACCAACTCTAATGTGTCGCCTCCATAACTGGTGTTTTGTTTCCAACAATGAAGAACCTTAACGCGAATTTTTCAATTATCTCTGTAAGGTTTAAAACCATTAAGAAATACAAAAGTGTTTGGTTTTGTTCTTTTTTTTTGTTGGAGGTGATAGTGAATGATGAATATGAGAAGAACTATATATACGCTTCATATTTTAGGTGGGACGTCAAAATAAATATGCTCTCCAACAATTCAGAAAACCAATTAGTATTCTATAACTAATATCAAATCAAGAGATTTAGTATCTAGCGAGATTTAGACAAAGTAGGTTGACTTGGAGAAGAGATTATTCCATAAAGGATTGTATATATCTATCAAATTGTGCTTTATAATTAATATCAAATCAAGAACTTTAAATGTAACCGAGGTTTTCTGCTAAAAAATAATAAGAATATACTGAAGATTTTCGTAAGGAATAAGAAGGTGAATTATAACTATGTTCCAAATAATTATGAGACACTGAATCATCACTAACTTCCTAAATAATATATAACTTCCTAAACAATAGCGAAATATAATTAACTGTGTAAAGATTATATTAGTCTAACAATAATACATATCATTATTAGACTATATATTAATAATATGAGATCTGACTTAAAAGTCCACCTAAAAAAAGTTGTAATACTTATGTTTTAATAAGATAGGGGATTTGTTCTATTTCTACCCTAGCTTGTTTGGTATCTCCCCTCGAGGTTAATTTAATGGTAAAAAGGGATGAAAGTTGTTTTGTCTACCTGTTTACATAATAATCAAAAGGTGAACTAAAGGTGAGATTAATGATTTGAGAAAAGTGTTTTTTTTCACCTGATGAAAAGTGGTTTAAATTCACTGATTGATAGCTAATGCCTAGTGGCAGGAAGGTTATAGCTCGCAGTCGCAAGTAAAATGGGGTTTCATGATATCACCCAAATGGTAAAAAGTAACATGCAATTATAAATGGACCCATAGGACAGCAACCTCTTAATTTATATTTTTGACACTAGCAACCTCTTGCGTAAAGAAAACAAAACACACTAGCATTCTAGCAACCTCTTAATTTATGTTCTAGATATACATTTATCGATTAGAAGTTTAGAATCGTTAACAACTCATAAGATTAATCTTCTTTACCAAAGATAATTTCAAACTTGTAAATAATTCTTAATATGCTACACAAACCACAACACACACGATGAATGATTTAACACTACAAGAAAACGTTTCCATAACAACGAAAATTTACGACAAAATGTATTCTCGTAAACTTACGAGTATATTACATCTATTTCATGATAAAGCTAAGATTCATCGTAAACTACACGTAAAATTACATGGAAAATGTTTCGTCATAAAACAGATCAATAGTTACAACGAAAGAACGAGAAAAAAAATCTCGTTGTAACTTACAAGTAAGTGTTAGGTGGCGTTTACGACGAAACTTGCTACGGTTATTTTTGAGAGAAAACGTGTATGTATTGCGCTTCACCTAATTATTTTTGTTGTTAAAACGTTGTAAAACCTATGTGGTAAAGTTGTAAATCACTAATAAAACATTTCCTTGTAAATTCGCTGTTACATATAACCTACCAAGGAAATAGCTCTAGGCTTTTCTTCGACTAGATGGCTTGAGAAAAGCTATGCGGGGTTGATAAAAACTGTTCCTATGATTGTATACTTTTTTAGTTTATTTTTTTATTACTTGGAAATGCCCAAATAATTTATTTGTTTGTGTTTTAATTTTTTTAAAAAAAATCCGTAGTAATATCGTCGTAATTTACAATGCATATACGTGAAAATGTCATTTTCTTCATAAAAGACAAGTAAAATTACAAGTATTTTACGACGAAACCTTACTTTTTGGTAGGTGAAAAAGTTGTTAAAGTGTACTTCAACTACCATAAGTGTCTTTGTAAATTTGTTGTAACAAAAAGGTTAACGAGTTGTAAAATCCTAGTAAATTTGTTTCCTTGTAAATCACTTGTAAATGTTTTCACCTACCAAACCAGAAATATATATATATATATATATATCACCATTTTCATTCCAAATCTACACAAACGACAAAAAAGAAAAAAAAAATGTCTGATGGTGGAAATATTTACGAATTACGGAGTTGGATGTATATGCATAAAGATTCCGCTGATAGAGTGACGAATTCATTTCTTGCTGGGTAAGAGACATTCATGTACCAGGCATAATGTACACCACTCATGCAAGAAAGCAGTAAAATGTTATGTCCTTGCCTAAAGTGCAAAAATACAAAATTTTCCCGTAGTGAAACTGTATGGAAACATTTAGTACACAGAGGTCTTACACCACATTACTATATTTGGTCTCAACATGGAGAAGGTTATGGTGAAATGAAGCTAGTAATAATAATAGTAATTATCAGAATGGTGGTAATCAGGAACCGAATCATTTGCATAACGAAAATAGTTACCACCAGGAGAAACATATGGTAGATCATGATATGATTCACGACATGATTACTGATGCATTTTTAGAAACTACGACAACAATAGCTAGAAACTAGAAATGTCGAAGAACCTAATTTGGATGCAAAATAGTTTTATGAAATGCTAAATGCTGCAAATCAAC